TGAAAAATCCTCTGATAAGATAGACTTGGATATAACATAATTACCAATGTTAGATCCAAGTCCTCCATCTTTTCCTCCATCTTCTGACCAACCCTATTCTCAATCAAAGCAAACTAAAGTTCATTTGGATGGGAGGAAAAGAAGGTGACACCAGAAGGGGAAATGGCAGACAATCTCAAACAATCTTGGGGATCAGGGAGAGAAAAATGGATGCTTGAATCCTGAATATTCCTGGCTCCATCTGGCCAACTAACTGGGAGAGACAAGACATATCCAACCACAGCAGAACCTGGGCAGATGTGGACGGCACACTTAGACCCAGGAACTTCCTGCATTTATTGTGCAACAAAGTGACTCCATGTTTTACACAGCTGAATTTTTAGGCCTAATTTATCATGTTATGGTGGGGTTGTATGTGAATATGGAATTATTTGTGAGACCCTTTATTATGTCATCTTATTGTATTCCCAAAATAACTATCAACTTAACAGTAAAAAAAGAAAGACAAATAGATAGTTCTGAACAAAGTGAGAGACTCAACAAATGAGTAGTAAGAGTCAGGACTCCTAGCAGTCCTTCTGATAGCAAGTATGCTAACTTTTCCTGGACAACATGTTTCATTCCCCATGTGACCTCACCAAGACTAGACAACAGAAACTTATTTTTTCTCCAAAACACTTCTTTGGATTGGTACTCAGTTAATTATGTCATGTTTCGTCTGGCCTGTGTCCACATATTTTAGAAAGGATATGCTTCTATGCCTGCATATTGGTGGACTTCCAATTGCAAGCTGGGTCTAAACCAGGCCAAAACATCTTGACACTTTGGTGAATTCAAAAGCAAGGAGTCATTTCAGTTAAATAAATAGGATGAGTAATTTTATGTCATTTCCATTCACCCCCAGTGAAGTTGTATATCCTCACTAAGATAAAAAAAAAAATTGAAAAGTTGAAAGTGGGAACAAATTGGCTTTATAGAGATGCACTGGCTAAGATGTCTAGTAATAATAATAAGAAGAATAACAATAGCAAAAGCTTCCATTTACTGATGCTCACTATATTCCAGGTAGCTTGGTAAACACATATAATTTAATCTTTATTAGAAACAATTTTATAAATCAATTTTTGTATTTTTTAATAAATGAAGAATTTTAAGTAGCTAAACTTAAAACTCTAGGCTTTGATCACTACTACTTATTCTAATGTAAACAGTTATGACTGAAACTCCTAGTATTGCTGTCATGTAGAAGAACAAGAGCCACAAGAAACGAACATGATATTTGATTTAGTATCTGCTTTTTAAATATACATTGAGGGAGGGAGCAGGCAGTGGCTCACACCAGCACTTTGGGAGGCCAAGGCAGATGGATCGCTTGATGTCAGGATTTCAAGACCAGCCTGGCCAACATAGTGAAACCCCATCTCCAGTAAAAATACAAAAATTAGCCAGGTGTAGTGGCGCACACCTGTAGTCCCAGCTACTCAGGTGACTGAGACAGAATAGCTTGAACCCAAGAGACAGAGAGCTGAGATAGCACCACTGCACTCCAACCTGGCATAGAGTGAAACTCTGTCTCAAAAAACAAACAACAACAACAACAACTATATATATACAAACACATGTACACATATATAAAACAGAAATATATATATGTATACATATATACATATATATGTGTGTGTATATACATATAGTTGTGTATGTATATATATATGTGTGTGAATATATATATACACACATATATGTGTATGTGTATAATATATATATAGTTGTGTGTGTGTGTGTATATATATATATATATATATATATAGAGAGAGAGAGAGAGAGAGAGAGGGAGAGAGAGAGAGAAACATACATTGCAACATTTGTTTTCTTCATTCATTTGCCTTGTGGGTGTTAAGTTAATGTTTGTGATCTAGTTTTGTGAAATGGCTACTTCTACATGACAGAAAATCCTCCTAGGCCTTACAGGAAACATGCTGTTTATAGCCAAGGGCAGATTTGTCTATGCTAATCCAGTAGAATTTGCCCATGTTTATGGCATAGCCTTGTCTCTGCTCTCACAAGTAACATCAGTCTGTCTTCTAGACAATTAAGGATATTGCAGCAGTTTCTGTTTATAAAGCTCTGGCAGCAGTGTCTTTTGATGAAGACTTTTCTATTATTTAATCTTAGAACTGTGTCATCTGATGGTATGATCCCAAGGGGAAATTGGGAACTGGAGTGAAAAGAGTGGGCATCAAAAAATATTTATTGTAAGTTGGCATTTTTCATGATATGTAGTCTGGGTTTGAATCTCCTTTCTGCCTTTTATTACCTGTGTGACCTGAGATATTTTGTCATTTTTCTCATCTTTGAAATGAAGATAAGAACAGTGTCTACCTCATCGGGTTAGTGTGACGCAGCAGGGAGAGAAGACATGAATATGCTAGCACGGTACCTGGCCCATAACAAGAATTGGGTAAACACTAGTTATTATGAAAGAAACTCTTCCCTCTGTCATGTCTTGGGTATATACAACTTTGGCCAAGTCTCTTAACCTCTCTAATCTCTGATTCTTTTCTAATCTGTAAAACGAAGAAACTAGATTCGTCTAGATATCCTATAAAATCTTTTTCAGCTCTAATTTTCTACGAATCAAAATCATTCTGTACTTTAACAGCAGAAATAGTCCTCACCAAATACTCTACATATTATTCCAGTTTTTTCAGCATTGTAATTAGGTTGGAACTGCATAACTAGTTCTGGCCAATGGAAATGTGAATGTGTATAATGCGCTACTCTGAGTCCAAGGCAACTATGAGCCAGTGTGAATTCACCACAGTTTCTCTCTCTCTCTCTTTCATTTGTGATACTGGAAGCAAAGAATTTTGAGATACTATTGCTGCAATGTAGAAGCAGCCTGCATCCCTGAGATACCACTGGAGTAAATCTGTCTGGCTTTCATTTGACTGCATTGAGAACAGGAAATAATTCTTTGTTGTGTTAAGCAAGTGAGATTTTGAAGTTTGACTGTCACAGCAGCCAGCAGTTACTTCTCCTGACTTGTATAGTATTCAAGCTCCTCCATACCACATATCTCAATTTTTTATGAAGGTCAATCTGTTAAAAAACAAAGAACATTCTTGCAGAGGAGAGGATGAAGAAAAGAAAACGTAAAGAAAGATTAACATGTGTACTGAGAGGCATGCATGAAAAACATGGAAGAGGCCAAGAGGCCAACCAGGGCATTGTTTTAGTGAAGCTCCAGGCTTTTCTGATATTTTCTAAATGCCAACCTCTTTCTCACTAACTTGGTTACAGGTTTATTTCACTGTACTCTCAGGAAGTATTATATCACTGAGCATTGTTAAATTCTTGAAGCCTGATTAATTTTATTATAGTTACACTAATTATCAGAAGAAAAACATTTCACAGCAGGGGTAAAATGGAAAGGCACGCAATATCTTATTCCCTCACATCATAGGATTGTTGTAAAAACCAAAGTAGATACCAGAGATGGAAAACTGTGAAATGCTATGTATTAAGATGAGGTAGATGATGTGATGATAGAATAAGAGGTATATTGCAAAGGCACTAGGACTCATGAAAGAGTCTGAATATCTGAAATAGGCAACCTATATTTTTTAAATGGAAGAGACATATGAAACTCAAAATACAAAGCATGGTTAGAAATTTACATAGAAACATAAAAACTTCAAAGTACTTATTTCCCTAACTATTCTTTCTTTTTTAAAAAAGTTACTGACTTAATCTATCAAGAAAATAAAGAAAAACATCTTCTTCAAAATAATTGCAATTATGAGAGCAGTGAGAATTGTCTTTCTGAGCAGCTACATGTTTGTACATCTCTGTATATAGCACAGACAAAGTGGAATTCTTTGAGTTTCCCTCCATAATTTTTACATAAGAAACTAAGCTTAATAGGCATATATTGATGTTATTTAAAAAAAAACAATTATTGACTTAAATGTGAATTTCAAAAATAAATAAATACTAGTTATTCAGCGGTGTCATTTATAAGATGGATTTGTCCAAACCATTAATGAGTAGGATGAAATGTCAGAATAGAGACCACAGCAGCATCACAAACAAGATAGATAAAAACCTCAGAGGATGACTATTGACCTAACCCAAACAAATTATCTCCTGGTTCCATTGGTTGTTGCCAAGTCTCAGCAAAGTACTTGGAGTAAACATAGCACAAGAGTGGAAAAGGATCTGCTTGTCTTTCTGTTTGTGATTGTTCAAGCGAATGAATGATAGAAATGTGAGCTGATGTCTGCCAGTAGCAAGGAAGTCATCAGATTATTGACGTCAATGCTATGAAAGCTCTAGACCCTTACAAGATAAAAGGAAAGTAACATTGTGGCTTGGAAAGAGAATAAGGCCTTGAATAGATCAGGTTACTGAGGCAGGACTAAGACTTTACTGTACCAACAGTCACCATTTAATGATGCTTCCTTGGACCCCCAGAGAGTGGGTTTTCTCAGTTATATGAGAACTTGGCATATAAGAAGAAAAGACACTTAGCAGTATTGCATCAGATCCAAAGGGCAATGATCCATATGTTCTCTGAGCCTTTGAGATCAGTGCATAGTATAATTTACAGGAGACTTGCTATTCCAAAGTCTGGCCAACAGTTGGCCATTTCATCTCATACTGACATACTGAACAGACTATGATAGAAACAAAAGAGACAAAATCCATTTTAATAGTTGTCAGTGTCTACAGATTTTTTCTTTTTTGAGACAGGGTCTCAGTCTGTTGCCCAGTCTTGAGTGCAGTGGCACTATCACAACTCACTGCAGGACTCAGGTTAAATGTAACTAACAACCAAGTGGATTCCACAATATTGATACACTAAATAGTTTTTTGGCTTTCACCCAGTGTCTAGTAATCAGCGGAGGAATCACTACCAACAGGAATAGAGGATATGGAAAGGGAGTGAGAAGAGTGAAGTTTAAGAGCTGGAGAACGGGGCTTATTCATCTGCGCGCGGGAAAGAGGCTCCTTATTCGGGAGAACCACTCGTTTGGTTGTTCCGTGTGGCGCCAGCTCATCACCGCCGCCGCCATGCCTGGGGGTCTGCTTCTCGGGGACGTGGCTCCCAACTTTGAGGCCAATACCACCGTCGGCCCCATCCGTTTCCATGACTTTCTGGGAGACTCATGGGGCATTCTCTTCTCCCACCCTCGGGACTTTACCCCAGTGTGCACCACAGAGCTTGGCAGAGCTGCAAAGTTGGCACCAGAATTTGCCAAGAGGAATGTTAAGTTGATTGCCCTTTCAATAGACAGTGTCGAGAACCATCTTGCCTGGAGCAAGGATATCAATGCTTACAATGGTGAAGAGCCCACAGAAAAATTACCTTTTCCTATCATTGATGATAAGAATCGGGACCTTGCCATCCTGTTGGGCATGCTGGATCCAGCAGAGAAGGATGAAAAGGGCATGCCTGTGACAGCTCGTGTGGTGTTTGTTTTGGGTCCTGATAAGAAGCTGAAGCTGTCTATTCTCTATCCAGCTACCACTGGCAGGAACTTTGATGAGATTCTCAGGGTAGTCATCTCTCTCCAGCTGACAGCAGAAAAGAGGGTTGCCACCCCAGTTGATTGGAAGGATGGGGATAGTGTGATGGTCCTTCCAACCATCCCTGAAGAAGAAGCCAAAAAACTTTTCCCGAAAGGAGTCTTCATCAAAGAGCTCCCATCTGGCAAGAAATACCTCCGCTGCACACCCCAGCCTTAAGACTCTTGGAGAAGTTGGTGCTGTGAGCCAGAGGATGTCAGCTGCCAGTCATGTTTTCCTGCAGCACTTCCATAAAAACATCCTGGTGTCATCACAGCCAGGGTTTTTAGGTTGCTATTCTATTGGCTTATTAAATGAAAATGGCACTAAAAGTTTCTTGGGATTCTTTACTCTCTGCCTTCACCAGCACTCAATTCTGTTCATACCTCAGCACTCCCTCTTGGTTATCTTTGAAATATGTTCTGTATTTAAAATTCAAATCTTGTTGGATCTCTGCAGGGCTTGTGATCAATGAGGTCATATTGGCTGATGGTTGAGAAAGCTTGCTTTGCTCAATCAGAGAATGACTACCAATTTTTTTTAACTGTCCCTATCACATCCTCTTGTTTGTTACCCGTTTTGAAGAGTAGCAGAACTTGAGGTTCAACTTCCTCTGAAAATATCCAAGTATGTAACTCAGATGCTCTTTAGTATTCTGTGTTTTGATCATAGCTGGGTGAAAAAAGCTTTTTAATTCTGTACCTTTCCAGCAGATAACTTAAGAGCAGGGGAAGAGACCTTTAAATATTTTCCTCTAAAAAATATTGTGATCAGTTTCTATCAAAATGGGGAGACTGCAGAAAAGCCTTCCCTTGGCTTCCAAGGAGGTGTAGCAGGTGTGAGCAATACTAGTGCCATGTGCCTTTCACACAGGGTTTGCATTTTTCAGTCTGCTTTCTGATGATGTGTATGTGAAAGAGTACACCATGTGAAGAGAAGAGAGAATGATTGAAAATGTTTTCTTATAGAACTCTTCTTGCAGTGGGTTGCTATTTTCTGGATTTTACTTTTTAGGAAACAACAAATAAAATTCTTTGTTAAAACTGAAAAAAAAAAAAAAAGAACTGGAGAACGGAGGGAGAAGGTAAAGAAACAAGGAACACCAGTACTTGCATTTCAATAATTTGGTCTGCTGACTACAAACATCCTGAGTGGAGGAGAGAAGGATAATAGTAAGTTAGACATACCTCCTTCTCCAAACACACACACACACTCCCCACATACACACTCAAAGAACATTTAAAAAGTATCTCAGCTCTGTCTGTAGGAAACTCAGTGTTTTCAAGCCAGAAAAAGATTCTCATAAACTAAGACCCCAAATCTGTTCAATATCAGATTTGATCATATTGCTTGATACTTTGATGTGAAATATAGCATGATTGAAGAGGACTCAGTTGTGTATCCACTATACTCAACATACTTACAATTTCTTTGTTTAGCAGTTCTTCTTAAGTCCATTGTTTTCGTCTGGATTTCATTTCTGTCCTGCTGAATTACATCAATCAGTAGTTTGTAAAGCAACAATCCATGAGTAGTAAAACTTTTTAGATTTCTTTATTATTTTATTTTACATTTTTTTTAGACAAGGTCTTGCTTTATTGCCCAGGCTGAAATGCAGTCGTGCAATCTCGACTCACTGCAACCTCCGCTTCCCGGGTTCAAGTGATTCTCCTGTTTCAGCCTCCTGAGTAGCTGGGCTAACAGGCGTGTGCCACCATGCCCAGCTAATTTTTGTACTTTTAGTAGAGATGGGGGTTCATTGTTGGCCAGGCTGGTCTTGAATTCCTGACCTCAGGTGATCCACCCACCTAGGCCTCCTAAAGTGCTGGGATTACAGGAGTGAGCCACCGCGCTGGCCGACTTTTTAGATTTCTGAGTTGTCTTTATTTTAATTCTTCAATGGTAGGTTAGATATAGAGTTTTTAGGTAAAAGTTTATTTCTCTCAGCACTTTTAAGATGTTTCAGGTAGTCTTCTGCAGAGCTAGTCTTCACTCTTTCTCCTTCAAGTGGGTATGGGAGTGCTTCACTAATCACACTAAGGTGTATCCACATCTAACTAAAGTACTGGAGAACTTACTCAAAATATTTTCATGACAAATGCAACTTTTACAAAGTTTACTTCATCTGTGGCCCTCATGTCAGTGGAATCTTCAAAAGTTTTTGTCTACCAAACAAATTGCATATGTATTAAGCAATGAACAATTTGTTCTGCCTATATTATCACTATTTTTTGGTCAATGTCAATCCAGATCACAAATGGTTTCTTAGCAGTAAAGTTTATGATAGTAGTATTATGAAATCATATAAAAGGCTATCAAGATTGTAAGATTACTAGTAAACAAGATTAAGTAATAATCTCATCCCATAGAACACAGAACTCTTGGTTGCTCAATATTGGCCACTATGGAGGCAGGATTCCACCTGCTAAAGTCAAACACCGTAACTCCTTGACTTGAGCTCCAAGATTTACTTATGGCTCAGTGTTCTTGTCTCAGGAATTCCTACGATACTATCGATGGCCAAATTAAATTATAGCAACCTGGTTTTAGTAAAACAGGAAACACACTCTTTGGAAGCTCTGATCATCTCCATGGTTCCCAAACTGTGTACTGAGGCACTCTAGATTACTGCAACAAGTTCGTAAGGACAGTACAAGATATTTTAAATTTTCTAGAAAAACATAGCAACGTCTCTCAGATATCATATAAATTATTAATATTAAGTCATTTGGATATAAATATTTAATCAACAGAGCTATTAGGAATGTCTTCGGGCCTAGAATACCTTGAAAAAATTTCTGAATTACTGTGACCTGAGAAAGTTTTGCAGCCTCTGAATTATTTTCCCCTAAAGCCTTATGAAGTATAGTGGGATGGATTTTATTAGGTTTTGTGAAATATTAAAAGGATCTCCAAGAACTTTTCTGGCCTTGTGAGCCCCAAGTTGTGAACTAACGTGTCACCAAAATCTCATCAATAAAACAAAAAGTGTGTTACTGATAAGGGCATTCTTCACAGTGATATCATCAAGGCAGTACAGCACCTCATGCTCTTGACCACATTTCCCAAAAAAGCTTTTCTAGAAGTACAGAATGAGCAAAGAGAGCAACTAACTTGCTGTGTCACATTTGGAGAGACATGTAGACATTTTCTTTTGTAGATATTTTCTTTCTACAAAAACTGGTTAAGCATCTACTGTGTGCCAAACACAGGTATACGGAACAAACAAGCCTTGCCTAATATACTAAAATCTAAATGCTTAGTATAATGCCAGGTAGTAGTAAATGCCAAGAGGAAAAATAAGACAGATTGATAGCGTCCATGGAGTGACGTACGTTGCTTTGAACAGAATTGTCAGGGAAAGCTTCCAGTGAGGTAATATTTAAGCAGAGACCCAAATGAAGAGGAAAAAAAGCCAATTTAATACAGTCTTTCTGCCCCCAGGGATGGGGGGTGAAGATGTAAAATTGTCTCAATTGCTCTTTATAATATCGGAACAGATTTATTTTAAAATAAGTACTTTTTGTCAAGCACATTCACATAGATGCACATCTTAGCTTCATGAAACCCAGGGAAGCTGGTATTCTTGTCATTATTACCTTCATCTTTGAGCTGAGGAAACTGAAGTACAGAAGACTAGTCAGGTGGCCCATAGTCTCTCAGCTAGCTGTGACTGGAGGTAGACTAAAACTCCAGGCCCCCATCTCCAAGTCTGGGCCCCTAACCAGCAGCTACAGAAGAAAATGCACAGCTACTGTCCTCTCAATATGAAGAATATAGCCTGAGTCTCTATGGCATATGTGACATACAATGAATTTCTCTTTTGATTTAGAAAGCATGATTTGCCTACATTGTTAAGGGGGAAAATCCTCTTGAAGAATCTGTCTTTGACCATATTGAACAAAGAAATGAAAGGTTTGGGTAACTTTGGCCTCTGGTATGTGAGCTCCCAGCATTTTCCTGCCTGATGTTCCATGGCTCTGCAGAGCACAGGAGACCCCATAAGCTGTCTTTAAACTCTTGCTCACTTCTTTCCCCTCTTCCCTTCCTTCCTCCCTCCCCTCCTTTCTCCTCCCCTCCCCTCCCCTCCCTCCCTCTTTCCCTCCTTCCCTCTTTCCTTCCTTACTCCCTCCCCTCATTCTACCAAATGCTTATTGAAAGTCCACCATGCATCACCCACTATTTTGGGTTCTTACTATCCAGCACTAAATAAAAAACACATGGCACCTGCCAACTTGTAAACAAACAAACAAAAAATCTCAAGTGTGATAAGTATTAAATGCTTGTGCAGCAAACCTAGACCAAATTGAGAGATAAATGTTTCATCAATAAATCAATGTTTGAATGAATAAGAAATAAAGAGATGAATTGACTGGACTTTCAAATTTTATATAGCAGGATGATTATACTTTTCACCCAATTCCCATTCTCTATTCCTATATTGGTGAGAGTGAAAAATGTTGAGGAAGAATCAGACACAGTCTGTCAGTCAAAAAACTTCATAGGACAATCAATTAAATAGCTCAAAATCATTTCTGTACTTTCAAGGAGAAAAGAAAGCAGCTGCCTGATGATATTTTTTAATTGAATGCAGAAGCTATTACCTACGAGAACCTTCAATTTATTCTTAACCAGTCAATCAAAAACAATTTAAGCAAAGCAAAATCTGTTTTCTTCTAAGTAGCAACTGGGCTGAAAGCTGTCATGCCAAGTTTCACCCAGTGTGAATTTCAGCAGCTGAATGATAAACACCAGTAAAAGAAACCCTTTTCTAGAATGCCAGCAAGACTGCTTTAACCAAACTTTTGCTACTAAGCAACAATCTAAAAAAAAAACCAGTATTCTATTGTTAATTACTCATCTAAAAGGCTGGAGAGGAAATTATAGAAAGAAACAATCTCTAAATAATTCCCCCATTACCCTTATTCTGAATCTTTCCTTATCCACAAAAGGGTGAACATCGAAGTTTCAGAAACCCCAAATTTCATTAATGTGGAAAAATTGAGGGATTGTCTCCCTAAAGAAATGAGCTTAGCAGTTTAATGAAGAGGTCTTACCACCATATAATAATTCACAAATGTAGTGAGAGAAAGTGACAGAGATGGAAGGCTGAAGTGGTGGGAGCCACAAGCCCCAGATTGATGTCAATGCCGTCAGCAATCTTGACCCTCTGCTGGTTCATATATTCATCAATTACAGGTGAACAAGACAGAAAAGCATAGAGTCTAATGTGGGGGTCAGATGAGAAATAGGTAATAAACAAACAAAAAAGATAATTAATAATTTCGCCTTGAAGAAAATTCCTACAGTGATAACGGTAAAGAGTAACTTGCGAAGCCTTATCAATTAAGTGGTCAAGAAAGGGCTCTCATAGTGCTCTTCTGGTGTAA